GACGCGGTCAGGCATAACTCTGCAGCCTGCACTTCCACCCAGCTCTTCCCTCAAGACCTTCCTGCTGCTTCACATCTCTTTACAGCCCACGTAGCCACTCAGATTACGGCACATTCTCTGGGGAAGGCATGCAAAGTCCAAAAAAGATTTGGACTCCGTGGTATTTTGCTCTTAAAACCACTCAAGCAACATACCAACCTGGCACAAAGTGCCTGTTAGGTTCTCAAGACTTACCGAGCAATGTTTAGGTATATGTGATATGGTGGTAAAGTGTTAATTCATTTGCACTGAGAGAACTTACTTACTCAAAAGGAATGGCAATTTATTTTTAAAAAGGGATAATTAATCATATATAACAGGTATACCAAAAAAGGGATGGATTTAGCCATGAATACTTATTCTGCATATCATCCTTGCTAGCTTCAATGCAAAGCCAGAAGTTAAAATAAAATAAAAAACACAAAGGTAAAAAACTGTTCTAAAATCTGGGCCGGACTTTCCTCTTGCTTTTGTCTGAATGAATGGACAGCTCAAATCAAAACTTTAAAATACAGCAATGTGCAGGGAAGCTGCTAATTCAACGTCCTCACTTAATCTTTGGAAACACGACAGACTGGCCTGTTTGGATCAACCCAAGTGTTGCCCAACATGTCTGCACAGCCAGCAGGACAAGAGCCAACGAAGGAGGCACAACATCGACGTCCCAGTGTTGCTTAACAGGGAATATACTTCTCCAGATGACTAAAGATTAAAGTTTGAGAATTTGTTTGTTCTTGTGCAAACACGTGGATTAAAGACATACGGGGTTAAAAAAAATTCTTAATCATGTGATTGCTCTGTTTAATGCACACAAAAGCAAATCCTCTACTGAAGACCAAAACATTTGATTGTTCTACATGATGAATGATCGTTTTGGGTGGATGGGCCCTGTTTGCATGTATTAAAAACCTGCTTCTGAGATTTCAACAGGAGGTTGGCTTGAAACACAGAAGTGAAGGCTACCTATGGGACAGATCTGGTTGGCAGGCCGCAAACTGATGAAGTCTTCTGGATAGAAGACGAAACGTTTCTCACTTAAAGAAACTGGTCCAGATGACATGATTTACCCATCATTTTTGTTGTTATCTACCTGGATGTTTGAGTTTACAAACCTTTTTTCTGAACCACTTTGGCCTTGGTTGTCCTCAGGTTGTTTCTGTGAATAGCAAGTTGGCCATCTGACCTAAAACGTTTGATCGTTGTACATGATGATTGACTGTTTTGGATGGGTGTGCTCTGTTTGCACATGTTAAAAGCCTATTTCTGAGATTCCACAGGAGGTTGGCTTGAAACACAGCAATGAAGGCTACTTATGGGCCTCAACGTTGAGAAACAAAGTCTTCTGGATAGGAGATGAAACGTTTGTCACTTAAACTGGTCCAGATGACATGATTTATCCCAGGGCTTTTCAACTAAACTGCTCAGGGGGGGCACAGTTTCTTAAAGCCAACAGCTCAGGGGGCGGACATCCAGCGATTAAAGTCATTAGAGTCGGAGTCAGAGTTTCTTTACTTGTTATTCGTCATGTGGTACATGTGGTGGAACGAAATTGTGTAATCAGAGTCCCAGTTATACCCAACAATAAAATATCAAAGAAAAACAGTAATATGATCTAAGATATGAACTAAGAAAAACATTGACTAAAAATATGCTAAGTACTAATAACATAAAAACAATACGCCGAACAGCAGCACGAACATGAGTCTGTGTGAGCAGATGAGCACGAATGAACACAGCGACATTAAACAGATCAGCAGCAACATTGAAACAGATCAGCAGCAACATTGAAACAGATCAGCAGCAACATGATGTGATTTTTCACAGTGATTATTCTTGTTAGAGAATTCATGAGATTCATGAGTCTAACAGCCTCAGGGTAGAAGCTGTTCCTCAGTCTAATGGTTCTACACTTAATGCTCCTCAACCTCCTTCCTGAGGGGAGCAGGACAAAAAGTGTGTGTGCTGAGTGAGTGAGGTCCTTCATGATGCAGGTGGCTCTCTCCCTGCATCTAGAGGTGTAGATATCTCTGATGTCTGATTATGTAAATAAACCAAGTTTTACAATTATCTGTTACCTTTTTTAATTATTTTATTGCATTGAATCATAAATGCAATAAACAGAACCCAAAACACCCCACCCCCCCAAAAAATAAAAATAAATTAAAAATTATGAAGTCATTGGTGGGCTGGATTGAAGTCACCCGCCGGCTGGAAATGGCCCATGGGCCGCCAGTTGAATAGCCGATGTCAGCTTTTTTGTTGTTATTGAAGACCCCCTTCAGAGATATTTCCCAACCTCTTCCCCTGAACACAAGCTTTGACTCAGAGCTACAAGTAGTTGATGAGCCTTCATCACACCTCTTCTGTGTCATCTACAGCCAGCCTTGTTGCTTAGTAACAACCTGCTTCTCTTTTATGTCCAGTCCCTGTCCTCATTCATAAAAAAATATTTTTTTTTTTGTGCACCTGCCCACACAATATGGCACACAGCACTTACAACTGTCAATTGTAAAGAGAGGTTTTGTAAACACTGTAATGCTGACTTTGCACGTGTTCGTGCCTATTGGGCCAAATTAACGTGCGTTATCTTGTTTTCAAAGTGTAACTTTTAGCATATTTTAACAGCTACCTGATAAACAGCGTAGAACATCATGGTCTTTTTTTTAATCATGTGACGCCATGTTTTCTAACATAATGCCACATGACAGCGTCTTATTCCTTTTGTGTCTGGGTGGAAACAGATTAGTTTTGTGTACGAGTGCTGCACTTGGAGATTAATGCTGTCACTCGCAGCACATACGATAATTCACCCTGGAATCTTTTTTAAACTGAGGCACTCCGTCAGTAACTCGTGCTACATGTATAAGGATTTGTGCTAAGCGTGAACTGTGTGCTCGTCTCAAGTAGATTTCGCTGTTAAATTTTTCATAATCTTAATTCAAATGTGTGATTTAAAGTAAAATGTAAAGTGGGGGTGCAAAAAGGCATAAACCCAACATGTTTCCAGACTGAATTTAATTATTTAAAGACTTTACGCAGCATCAAAGTGTACTTCCTCACTACGAGGACACATGAGGCAGCTCGGCTTTACCAGAACAAATCCTGAAGGTTTAACGCCTTATCTGCAGAAGGAAATTTAAATGTAGCATCTGCAGACCGCGCCTCTGAACAGTGACCGTTTTAGTGTTAAAGTTATCGCGTGGCTGTTGGTTGGAAGGTGCTTTAAGAGGATAAATGTGAGATCTGAGACGGTGTGAAGCGGTTAAGAAAAGCATTGTGTTCACAAGGTCTGAGCAGGTTGGAGTTCAGAAAAAATGTGCAAAAGGAAGTGAGGTGAGATTTAAATAGAAGTGTAAAGAAAAAGGTCTAGGAGTAAGGCAGTGAAAGAACAAACAGCATTATTTAATTGAGGATGTTTTTGCTGCGACGAAATAGTCTAAGAATCAAATGAGGTAAAAGGTGAGTCTTATGAGCTGTCACATCCTCACTATGGAAAACTGATGGCTTTTTTATATTCTGATTAAAAAGAAAATAAATTAAGCTGTTAAAAATACACAAAGAAAAATGCAAAAAGCGGATTATCATGTACTGTAATTGTGTCTGTGTGTGCACGTTGGCCAAACAGCTCATGAATCAGTGCACACGTTTTATTGAAAGTAATCCCTGAATGGATTTCTGCATGTGGTTAACGTTTGAACTGCCCTGATTGAAGACGGTTGACTGGCAAACATCAAAATGACAACGACTCATTCAGTTTCAGCGATACTGAGCTGAAAATTTAACGTGGTAGTAGCTGAGAGTCATTCGATATGTTAAACAAACAGCTCACGCAAAAACTTTGCCTGTTCTTTTGAAGCAAGGATGTGGGCAGAATACACTTCTTTAAGAAAACAACAACTACATTCATAATGTGTCTAAGATTGCAAAGAGCAGAGGTGGAATCCTGAGACCACCGAAGCAGAATCCCTCCGCCCCCTGGATGCACCAAGAATCTCTGTCCATAAAAGTTATGAGCAGAATCAGTGACATCGAGCAGCCCTGGCCGAGTCCAACTCCCACACTGAAGGGATCCGACTTACAACCTTCAATGCGAACCAAACTCTTGCACCACTTTTAGAGTGACCGAACAGCCCGTAGCAACAGGCCCCCAATCCCATATTCACAGAGCACCCGCCCACAGTGTACCTCGAGGTACATGCAGGTATTTTCTGGTTCAAATATCTCAACAATAAGCAGAAGAAATAGACATATTGGAGTCTCCAGAGCAGCAATAAAACCAGATTTGTAGAGTTGGCACCATTTATTTGTTGGACTAGCATCTTGATCACACATGCCCGAAGATATCTTTTCTGATCCCCATCATTCTGTGATGTTTATCCATTTATCTTATGGGCGGCTGTGGCTGAGTGGTTACAGCAGTCGTCCTCCAATGCGAGAGTTGGGGGTTTGATTCCACCAGCAGTCACATGCCAAAGTGTCCCTGGGCAAGACACTGAACCCCTCATTGCATCCAATGTTTGTCTTATAGGTGTATGAATGTGATAAAGCACTGATTATTCTTTGCATAGATCTGATAGAGCGCTGTATGAATGAATAAATGAGGACACAGATTGTAGCGTAAAGTGTTTTGAGTATCTTGATAAGATGGAAAGGTGCTGTATAAGTGCATTTACCATTTATCTGCCCACCCACTCCAAAGCAAAAAACATAAAGTAACTTGTCCTTGTTGTTTTTGCCACAATGTCGTACAGTTTATGAAATTTACTCCAACTATATATTTTGGGGGGGTCAAAAGCTAATTATAAATGGTCATTACTTTCTATGTTCATTTACGCTTAATCTGTCTTTTACCCTGTTGCTGTCTCTGAATAAATTTTATACTAATCCACCTGATTTTTTTTTTTTTGTCCACATGTGCATTGACTTAAAAATAATTATTTATGATTCTTTTTATTCCACAGAGGAAAACTGCACCTACTTCAGGCACTTCAATCCAGGACAAGACGCTGAGATATTTGAATATAAAACACAAAAAGGTATGCTGACTTTCTCTCCATCTTGTTGAAACATTAGAGAAAAAAAGCCCCCCCCCCAATTCATTTTGTAAATAAATCTCATTTTGTGTGTGACATGGAATGTCAGACAAGTCATCCTTCTCTCTTTTGTTGTTGTGTGCTCTTCGGTGTGGACACAGTAATGTTTCAGTTCACTGCACAGTCGGTGTCCCTTTCTCTTTTGTCTACATGTCGTCCAGCTGACTGAGAGTCACTGTGCATGAAAACACATCATATCACATCACCTCTTTGCACAAATAGACACACTAGTAATGCACTGAAACATTTTGTAGCTTAATTCTTTTTTTTTTTTTGGTCATGTGATTGAAACCTACTCTGGAAAATTTCCGGCCGAAAACAATTCTCCAGTGATCTTCAAAGACTGCGGTTCATTAAAGTTGCAGGGTTCATACCATGGGCGCTAACAATGTTTCATAAACGTTACTTTTAGATAACAGCACAAAAGATGTCCACTTCACACAATTAATAGTTCATTTATCTCTGGTCTTGCTCCACTCTCACCCATTTGCTTCATCTTCCATCCTTCCAGCCTCACTTCAATGACCCTGACAGATCTGGGGTCCCCCTGAGCCTCTGTGTTGGGGGGAGGGGAGCACTTGTGGAGCACATTCAAACCCAATGAATGGGGTGTACATTTGAACAGCGTGAATAGCGCACTTCTACCAGCTTCTACTCCAAGATGTTCATGCAAGCATTTAAGGGAACGCCCTCACGCTCATATGGGGGAGTCCCTGCGCTCATGGGCAGCCCTCAAGAGATTTTGAAGTCTGCTCGAGCACTGGCTTAAGTTCCTTGTGGCGTTCTGCACTCTTGACTGAGTCACTTGGCTGTACATCGGAGCGGAACAAACATGATGGATGGATGTCACCACAAGCACATCTGTCCACACAGCTTCTGTCTTATCCATAAGTAGGTTGCCACCATGAAGTTACTGAAGTGTGGGGAAAGTCTGAGAAAAGGGGAGTCAGTGTAGTAGATCTGAGATTTTGAAGGTTCTGATTAAGGCAACAATATTATTAATAATAATCAACCTATTACAATGTGTATACAAGCCATGGTGTGTCATTTCTTTTACAGGACAGTTTCCCTTATCGAGGCGTTTTTCAGTAAAGATTATTTTCAGTAAGCTAACTTCTCTCTACACTGACCAAAACCAGCTTTTTGTAGTGTGTTGTGTTCCTTACTATTATAAAGAACCTCGTTTAGTTAAGTCTTATGGAGTGTTAATCAATCATATGTTTTCATCTGGCGCTGCTGAGGGTTTATCCATATCCAGCTGACGAAGGTCAACTCAGAACTCTAGTTTCATGATGCAGAGTACAGTTGTTTAAATGGAGTTCTGCAGAGAGTCAACACTTGTCCTGTTCAGATAAATGACATGAGTTTGATCATTTTAAAAAGTAGAGATTATTTCCAAGTAGACAAAAAAAAAACTGGTTTGAGGGGAAAAAAAAAACTGTTAAAAATATTTCCACTTAGATATTTATGTAGACGTCTATGAACTGTATTCTTCCTCCTCTTCACTCGTTAGGGAGTTGCTTCAGCAGATCATCCGCCTCCATCTCATCCTATCCCAGCATCCTCTTTGATCACACCAACCCTCTGCACATCCTGCTTCACTACACACCTGAACCTTCTCTGCTCTCTTGCTTTGTTTCTCCTTCCTGGCAGTTTCGTATTCAACATGCGTTGTTCATTTGACGTCAAAGTAAAGCAGTGTACACATCTGGCGTGGAACAGTCAAATCAGTCCTTATCTCAAACAACCATGAATAACCATAAAAAATAAAGGTGTTTATAAAATTCATAATGATGACGTGAAAGTTGTAGATTAAAAATGTCAGAGGGAAGAAATTTGCTTTGAAAGTGACCGACTAGCTGTAACCTTATCAGTCTGGTCAGACTTCAACTTTGTTTTCCATTGTTTAAAAAAGCTATCTACTGCAGGTAAGATATCAACTGCTCATTAATGCTCTACAGAATCACTCTTCAAAAAATCTGAACTATCTCCCAGTTCAAAATGTTGTACATGCTAGAAAAGACTGTAGGAGGGAAACTATGCTGCAATAAAAGTGTTGGAACAGTTCCACTGGTGTAGTTTAGAGCCATCAAACATCTGTCTGATAAAGACTGTGGTCTAACAGAAAACTAAACATTAAAATCACAGTAAATTGGGAATTTTGACCATCGGAGACAAATAGCCTGGTGTCTCTCCTGAACCAGATCAGATGATAAGTTGCTAAACAGAAGCTAAAACCACAACATCAAACAGTACATGCAGAGGAAATTAGGCGCAGAGCATCTAAATGCTAAAATTACAAAGGTTGCAATGAGTGTTTTTTTTATGTACAGATGTTTTGCTGCAACCCTGAGAAGAACCAATATGGAGGGAAAGACAGATGTACAAAAAAAAACTTCATATAAACATATAGAGCAAAAAGCAAAATGCTAAATGCCAAGGATCAAGACTAATGGGAAAAGCTTTATGGGGCAAAAAATAAAGCAAAACAAATAAATAAATGAGAGCTGTGAAGTGACCAAGTGTCAAAATAAAAAAAACAGAACCTTTATTAAATCTCTGCGTGTCAGGAGATATTTCAGTGTCTGCACTGATGCTTGCTTTCCATCCCGAGTTGAATAATTCCATCAAAAAGAACATGAGAAACATTCAAATCTTCAGAATCTCTTCAACCGTACGGGTCTTATAGCAACAAATGTAAATATCTGAATGCAAAAAGATGCTTTTCAAATAAACTCTCAGAGCAATGTAAAATATGTCATTGTATTAGGATGATAAGTGTTTGAAAAAAAAAACAGAGATATTGCATTTCCTTCAAAAATGCAGTGTGAATGGTTATTGCAGAAGAACTTGCTGACAAACAGCTGAAATTAGCTTGAAATGCAGCTGAAAAGGAAGAACAAGCCTAAATTAGCAGAAGAAAGCAGAAAGAACATATATTTTCTGAATTAGGTTTAAAAAACAACAAATAAGCACCATTTTTTTGGGGGGGGGGGGGGGGGGTAGCTACAAAAGTTGGAATTAGCAAAAAACTGTCAGAAGAAACAGGATACAGCTGAAATGAGCTATAAAAAAAGTGGAATTGGCTGAAGAAGCTATAAATAGAAATAAAAAAATCAGACAAATGATAGAAAAAGCTAAAACTTACAGAAATAGATAGAACGAAGCATAACAAGCTGAAATTAGCATATAAAAATTAGGCTGAAACTAGCAGAAATTACCAAGAAAAACTTGAATTTATCTGAAATCAGCTGAAATTAGCTAAAAAATGCTGAAAAATGCTATAAATGTAGACCAGGCATAAATTAGCATAAGAAAGCAGAAAGAACACTTTTGCCCATCAATGATGGAAGAAGCAGAAATGAGCACAAAAAAGTGACAATTATCTGAAAAAAGCTAAAATTAGCAACAAAACAGCTGAAAAGTAGCTAAAAAACAGAAAGAAGCTTAAATTACTAGAATGACGTGGAGACAGCACATTTTTGCTGATTTAAACTGAAACAAGTTTAAATGAGTGCAAAAAATGTGGAATTAGCTGAAAAAGTGAAAATTAGCATAACAGCTAAATATTAGCTGAAATAGCAGTAAAAGCTGAACGTGCAGAAACAAGCTGAAGCTGAAATTAGCAGAAAGAAGTTAGAAGAAGCACAAAAATGTTTTAGTTAGAGGAAAGAATCTAAAAGGAGCACAAAACAGCTGAAATGAGTTGGAAAATAGCTAAAAGAAAAAGTTTAAATTTGCATAAAGAAGCTGAAAGAAGCTGAACCAAACAAAATGTGAAAGGAGCAGTAAAAGGTTGTAAACACATCTAAAGAGTTGAAGGATGAAAAATGAGCACAATTAATTTGCTATTAGGAGAAAAAAAAAAAAAGAGAGAAAAGGCTAAATATTTCAAAAAGCTAAAGTTGCACCAAAACCAAAAAGTCAAAGCAGGATCGTCCTGAAAGAGCCGAACGTTTTGATTTATGTTTTGTTGAAATAGCTTGAAAACTGCGGGACGAGAGACGTGCCGAAAAACTTACAGGAAAAAAAAAAAAAAAAAGAATAACAATAGTGTGAATGCTTCATAAACATTCTGAAATATTCTCCGTTTCTGTGCACGAGAGTTAAACTTCATGTTTATTTCATTCAGTCCTTCAGACCGGGGAATCTTTCAGCAAAGCAAGTCATGAATGAATGAAATTCGTGAGCATGTTTCTTGTTGAGGCTCGAGTCAGTTTGTCAGAGAGCACAGTATTCAGGGTGCGGGCCCCTCCTCTGCCTCCAGCACAAGATGAAGGCTCTCCCCCCCCAAAGGGGTCCCTCTCCCACGGGCGCCGTTCACAGGCGGCACATCAAAGGCCTCGGATCTTATCCGTCCCCATGCCTATAAAACAAGCCAGCTGCTGTCCCAGTTAAAAAAGACACAACCTGTAAAAACAAAAGTATATTCATGTTCATGGTGATGACCAAGATGAATGTTTATAACTTACAGTCAACAAACCTAAAACATCAAATCTGAATGAAAAATGTTGATGGTTCAGTTTGAGTTTCCGTTTCATCTAAACTACATGGAATGAGCTGAACATCTGGTTTATAGACTTTGACTTATGAGTTTATTAAATCTGCAAAACCAGTATAAAGGAATACGAACTCAAATATCCACCATGAACAAATTTGAAGTGAATAACATCTGCCGAGAATTGATTTGAATGTTTTAGCGTGCGTGTGTGCATGTTACCAAAACATCTCATGACCTTCTGAAATAATTTTAATGAAACTAAGAACTGATCTAAAATAAAATAGCTTTACAACTCTGGTAATTTTACATATGATCCTAAAGTTTGGTGTGGTCGTAGCTGAGACTGATCCCCAACAGATGTTAAGAGCACATGAACTTACTTTGAAATGCTACTGTTAATTATTTTGGTTTAACTCTGTCTGTTAGCAAAATATCTCATAAATCAATGGACATATTTTAATTAAATGTTCAGGAAATAATCATTGATTGTGTGTTTACAACTGTTTCACATTTAGAGCAGATTCAATTCAAGATGGCTGCCACAATCAACTGACCTTAGAAAACAGAAAAAGGGCGAGAATTCAGTCAGTTTCAAAGATACTGACTGAAAAGTTAGTGTGGTAGTAGCCGAGAGTGATTCACACAATATACTCCAAGTGCAACTTACTGCACAACATCTTTGCTTGAAATTTAACATTAAATATTTGGCTCAACCTTGTTTGTTTGTTTACAAAATAGCTCATAAACCACTGGATGTATTTTTATAAAACTTTTAACAAGTACCGTAATCGATGGTTGCCTGTCCAGAACTGATTAACTTCTGGAGTCGGCCCAAATCAGGGGTCCGCAACATTTAGATCAAAAGGGCCATTTCTACTCTTCACTTACGAAATAATACGTGTCTAGAGCTGCAACACCTGCTACAACAGTGATTATCAACTGGTGGCTCATGGGCCACTTAAAATTTGTATGAAGTTTTTTTTGTTTGTTTTGTTTTGTTTTTTCCAGCAATTTGGGGTGACTTTACAAAACAAAAATTATATAATGAATTTTAACATTTATTAATATTTTTACATTTTATGGCTAAGGAAAAGACTGCATTCACAGGGGGGGGGGGGGGGGGGTATTCATACCAATTTTACCAAATACATTTTAAACTCTGAACTCTGCAAGTTTTTGATTCTTCCTTTTAATTTAAGGGGGAAAAGTATCCCAGTTTAAAGTAATAAAACATAAATTTAAATATTATCTTTATTTGTTTAAATATTAGGCAGTTTTGTTGGATATATCAATGTGACATTAAATTTTTAATTTCAAAACAACTTTTGTTTTTAGTTTAACTTTAATTAGATCGATCCATCCATCCATCCATCCATCCATCCATCCATCCATCCATCCATC